AGGTATTCGCGGACGGGCTCGCGCACATTCGCCAGGATGACGCGGATGACGCTGTGGGGGCTGACGCCGTCCATGCACTCTTTCGATGCCCGCTTCAGGAGGCGCGTCGCGAGGTCGCAATGCTGGCGGAGCGTAGTGTGTCGCGCCTTGATGTCCTTGTACAACTCGTCGGTGAGCCTGTACATTCCGTTGACCGTGCCCATGCCCCTCTTCTTCCCGAGCTTTTGCTTCCCTTCAAACCTCTCCTTCCCCTCCACAGCTTCGTCCGGATGCGGCGCGCAGTCTTGCCTAGACGCGCGACGGTAGAGTATCGAGTGGGCCCTCTGGTCCTCCGTCGGAATATGAGCCCAGGCCATGAAGGGCGCGGTGTGGTCGAGGAGCTCGGGGTGCCGCGTAAATTCGTGCCAGCGCCAGAGACCATCGCCGCCGAATCCCTCGGCATACGTGTGGCCCTCTGCAGGGGCGGGAGGGCGGTATGTCGTGCCAACACCGAGCAGGACCATACCGCCGGGCCACTCGACAGCGACGTCAACATCGTCAGGTGCCGCGCGGTTCACGGTCTTCGGCTTTGCTTTCTTCTTCTTGTTGAACTTGGGGAGAGGTCGTTTCTTCCCTGCCAAAGGCAACGGGGCGGGCGGCGGAACGACCGAGCGACCTGCGAGCGTAGAGGCGGGTGGCCGGGGCTTCAGCGTATGTGGCGCTGTGGGTGGTCGGTTGGGCGCCATTGCCGGTGCGATGCGATGCGGGCCAGAAACGAGCGAAACACAGAGCAATCCTAAACGCGTATGCCTAGGATTACCGACTGTGTGTTGCTCGCGGGAGGTAGGTTGAGCCAGAAGGTGAAGTCGTGGTGGTGGTGGTGGTGCGGGAGAGACGCGCGCTCGAGTCGCGCGCGCGCGACGCGTCGCGGGCCTGCGCACGCTGATCAGTTCCCACGCCTGCTAAACCACCGCATGACTCACCGAGTACACTACACCGAGCAGTAGCACAGCGTTGTATGCGCTTCAATAGATAGTTAACCTAAAAGATATTTGTTAGAGTCTTTAAAGTCATGAGGATATCGAAAATTGACTTACAGAAAGAGGAAGAGCGCGCGCCGCCAGCTACGGCATGGTCATGTACGCGTGCTTGTCCGAGAAAGCATTGACGTAGAACTCGGAGCATCGCTCGAGAACATTGTCCGCGGTCCAGGATGGATTGACTGTGGGGCCGAAATGTGGGATGAGCGAGACGCTGCGCTGGACGCGATCGTACGGCAGGATGGCGGAGGCGCGCTCGTTCTGTACACGGGCATTATTGATGATCGTGCGCGAGATGCGATGAAGTCCGTGCGATTGCTCAGGACGGCGGAACCGACTAAACCACTCGACATATACGAAGTGCGTCGGGAGATTGGCGGCCTCATCGCCAAAGACCATGTCCAGCGTGCTTTTCGGCAGGCTGAAGATCAACCTCACTTGGCCAACACGTAATTCTAAGTCATACCGTGAGTTTGATACTCTGATAGGCAGTACGACTTACTCACTTCCATCCCCTTTCTCATCCACAAGTGCGGTGTTGAACGTCCCTTGAACGCGACGGCGCTGGGTGTCCTTGTACGCAGGACGTGCGATGATCGCGTCTGGCAGCTCTGGGATGAGATCTCCCTCCCGCTCCTGAGCGTCCGCGTGCCAGAAGCGTAAGCGATGGAACGTAGAGATGGTGTTCGCCGGGAAGACGATGTTGTTCGTCAGGTTGCGGACTTGGCGGTCGGAGAACAGAGGATGCTTGGTCTTCACGATGAACTCCTGCAGCTTGCGCGGGAAGTTATCGGCACCATACAGGCGCGCGGCGTCGTGGACGGTCATGCTCTCAATGCTAGGGTTCTTTGCGAGCCTCTGCTTGAGCTTGGGAGCACGGGGCGTGGGTGCGCGCGGCATATCTTGAAGAGGCGGGCTACCCTCAAGACGCCACCGAATGTAAGTCCGATGTGCGAGGATCTGCTCTTGTCGCTGCATCCAGAGCGTCATCTGCGGATATTCGTCCTTCCCGTTTGTGGCGCGCCAGGCCGACTTGGCGCAATCGATGTGGGCGCGCTCAGAATACGCCGTATTGAAGTTATCGGCGGTACCGAAGAGCTTGAGCGACTCGACGTAGTGCGATAGTGCGTGCATCTTCGGGAAGTTGAAGTGCGCGCGCGGTCCGAGATCGATGAAGACCTGTTTGTTGAGGTGGAAGCGGTGAAGGGCGTCCTCGAGTTGCTCGATTGTCTTCGTCGATGCCTCCGGAAATTGCGCAACATATATGAAGTCCAGCAGCGCGCGGACAGCCGCGAGAAGGCGCGTCCGATCATGAGCGGACTCAAGCGGGATGTCGATAATCACTCCCAAGATGACCCTGCAGATGTCCTGGTGCTCGGTGCCGGATACGCGGGAGAGACCAGATATCCCCTTGCTGAAGAGGCGAAGTTGGTGGTTGTCCGGCAGGCACTTGAATCGTTGGTCGAGCGCCTCGGAGCCGTAGACGTGCTTCAACCATACAAGGAGGTGCTTGACCATGCCCTGGTAGAGTTGGTGGAGTATGTCGGGGGTAAAGGCCTGGTAGATATTGGCGGCGAACCAGTTGGCCCAGAACGGCGTGTCGATGACCTTGACGTGGGCCCGCTTGCACGCGGCTTCGAACCCATTCATGTCCCCCTCGTGGGTCTGCAGCCAGGTGAGCGCCTCTGACGCTGCTTCGTGGTTGCGAGGAGCACACGGCTTCTCGGAGCCCAGGTCTTCGCGTGCAATCGTTCCTTTCGGACACAGCCCCGAAAGCACCCCGCCGACGAGGACCTGTTCGGGGTAGTCGCCAACGAAAGCAGCGAGGATGGGATGGCATCGGCGTTGTACACCATCACCAGATGTAAGGATGACGCCGTCCTGAGCGACGTCCTTACACGGCTTCAGAATGTCGTCCATGCAGCTGTGGAAGAGGTTGGAGAGCAGGCGACGGCGCTCCTTGTCGTTCTTGATGTTTTCCAGGCGAGACACGGGCAGGTAGCCCACGAGGATCTGCCCCTGCAGAGAGGTCTTGCGACGGAGCTCCTTTGGAAGGTTCCCGATGGTGAGGTAGACAGGATACGCCGATTGGTTGCGGAACTGGGTGAGTTGCGTCTTGTCCGATGAGACGATCAGCGGAACGATCGTAGCGCCGGCTTTGTATGCCTCAACCTGGGCCTATTCAATGTAATTAGTGATCTTTCAGCCTTCGAAAGATAATGAACGCACCTGTAAGTTCCACCACCAGCGGCCGGTGTGCATGTCAGACCACCGCCTCTCCTCCGTATCATCCACCAACATGTAATGCTTTTCGGGGGCAAATACCATGTCCATCGCGAAGTCCGGTCGCCCGTATAGCTCCCGCAATACCGCCAGAGAGTCGCGCATGTACAGGACATGCTTTACGCCGCCAACTCGCTTTGTTTTGCGAATGAAGTCCGAGCGGGCAGGCAGGCCCTTGTCGACCAGTTTGTTGAGGTCTCGGTTCGAGCGGTACTGGAGGTCCAACGTATCTGCGAGCTGAGGAACGCGAGTCAGCAGAGTGCATGAGACCACTCAAGAGAAGACTTACACCCTCGATCTTCAAGAGGGCGGTAAGCGCGTTTGCACCAATCGCATAGGACTTCGCCCAAGCCGCAAGTTCCCAGTCCAACTTCGACGCGAAAGGATGGTACACGTTATCCCCGTCTGCGCCTTCGGGAAGTTGAGCTCCGTACGCCTCGTAGCCATTGGGCACGGGGCCACCGCCATTGAGTACTTCGCCTGCGCGTCCTCCGAAGCGAACAACCCTTCTCTTGCCTAGCGGGGGTGGCGGCTGTTGCGCGGCATCCGGTTCGTGATCGTCGTCGGGTGCGCCACCTCCCTCAGCATCGTTCAGATCACCGCCGTCGTTCCCACCGTTGACGGCGTCACCGCTGCCGTCCGGTCGATCGCGTCCCTCGTCCTCCAGCGCGTCACCATCCACAATCCTCCGTTCGCCTTCTTCATATTCGGCATCCTCCTCCTCCTCCTCCTCATCAAAGTAGGCGTCTTCTGCGCGTTGCCCTACTCGGATGGCCCTCTGCTGCGCCTCCCTCCCCCAGCCAATGGGCTCGTTGGCTTCAGCTCGACCGCCCTTCTCCAACTCCGGCTCCAGGTCAGACATATCGACATCCATAGCGTGATCGTTTGCGGACGCCGGGTCATCGATGTTTGCCGCAGGCTCAGCAACACGAGACGAACCGGCCACGGGCAATCGGACAGCTTGCCGGGAAGGACCTTCGTCTGGCAAGTCCTCATCCGAGTCCTCCGGGTCTATTTGACAAGGGCCGTTGGCGGTGACATGTTGTCTGAGCGCATTAGCCGAACGAAAGCTCCGGCCGCAGGGACCCTTGCACCTAAACATAGCTGACGTTGGCCCTCGGGTGGTAGTCACTGGAAAAGAAGTCAGCGTTCCCATTGACCAACTGTAGGCGTCATATAGTGCGTACCTCGCGCATATCGCGCATAGCCCGGAGCCCCGCCATACACAGATGTCCGCACATAGATGGTTGAATTGTTCCTGATCCCGGCGCTCTCGAGATGCTGGAAGTCGTATAACGTTCGAAGAGGTGCGCCACCGCCAGGGGAGAATACTATGTCGTAATCCAGACGACCGTCGGGCGACGGAGGTAGGACAAGGCGGCGCCGATCAATTTCTCTCAGGATCCACGCGGTTGTCGCATCGTGAGGTACTCCTGTAACTTTTATTGAGTATCTGCTGTCTCTCTAGTCGTCTGAAGACCAGTAACTTACTCAATAGTACCGTAGATCGTAGACCTCTAACGAAGACGTTGTAAATACCATGTCGGCGTTCGTAGCGAGAGAGCACAGGCCCCTCAACAGTGACAGCTTGACGCGCAAATACAGAGCAGAAAGCGCAAAGTACGAAAGCGGAGATGGATTCGAAGCAGAGTAGGGCTACAGAAAAGGTCCATACAGGAAGTCGGTTCCACGCGTAGCAAAACGAGGGCAGGAGCGCTGACAAGACGAGATATACAGTGTAGATATACGCTAGCCCCATGTCCATGGTTGCGTTCCAACCTCCGATGCACGCGGTGCCTCGGGGTCTGGATTCACGGATATGTTGCGATGGCGCGTTGATGCGCCCGCCCCAATGGACCTCGGAACCTGCGTAAGCGCGTCAGGTCGGGAAGCAACACTTGCTGCGCTGGCTACTTACCACAGAACTTCCACCATCTCCCACCTCAGCATGGCTGGTACCGGTCCCAGGACACGGAGCAAAGCCGCTGCGACAGAGCCGGTCGACGACAATGATGCTGGCGCCGACGACGAGGCGCGGGAGCTCGCGCGGGATATGGCCAAGGCGCTACGGGAAGAGAAACAAGAGGCCGAGGCCGCCCGCAAGGCCGAAAGTGACAAGCGTGAGCGCCTTCGAGCCCGGTTCTTCTTGCCTCATGCTCATAGCGAATAATGTAGCGCCGTCCGGGCCTCGCGCAGCGAGGGTAAACCACAGCTTGGGCCTAGGCGTGCACCGTGACCGTCAGGCTACTCCGCCTCGCTCTCGTGGTGGCGGTACCAAGCCTCGCGGTGGCGGGAACAAGGCTCGCGGTGGCAGCAACAACGCCCGTGGTGGACGTAGCAAGTCTACGGGTCGTGGGGCAGGGAAAGCCAAGAAGACCGTGGATGACCAGGGTCCCGCCTCCGCCGAGACCGCCGCCTCCCAATCCACCAACCCATCAGCTCGCACGTTGCCGATACCCCGTCCCAAGGCAAAATCCGTTGTGCTTAAGTTGAAGTACACGCCGCTCAGCAAGTCCCAGCTTGGCGGTGAGGGAGAACCCGAAGATGAAGAACCGGCGCCCGCGGAGACACCCGAGCCCCGCAAGACGGCTGCTCGTAGCAAGTCCGCGCCGTCCCGACGTCGGAAGGGTGAGAATGGCAGTGATGGCGAAGAAGACGAGGACGAGGAGGGACCCAGCGGCGAAGATACCGACCCCGACGGTGATAAATATGTTGAGGACGAAGATGAGGGCCTCGGCGACGGTGAAGACGAGGATGAGGACGAGGACGAGGGTGAGGACGAGGACGACGCCGACGGCGTCTCGCAGGCGAAGGTGGCAAAGAAGCGTAAAGGTCCTGGCAAACTTGAGCAGCGCAAGCTGAACAAGTTCAATGAGAGCGTAAGTACTCCTTCTGCCGAGATGACGTCCAAGCTGACTTACCGTTGTCAGCGCGTTCAGGACATGGGTAGCCAGGCTATCCACAAGCCGACCGATAGCCCCGCCCGACGCGCTCATATCAGGCCCATTGACCCGAACGAAAGTAGCGGGGAGGAGAACGAAGTCCCGCAGGATAAGGGCAAGCAACCCATCCGCACCCCTGAGCACCTTCTCATCAGCACTGCCCAATCGCAAGTCAAGGTATTAGCGTACCTTTGTCACGGTCAACGGAATCTGCTGACAATCATCCAGAGCGCTACGCAGCACAAGGCTTCAAGGACGTCAGCGGATTCGAGTGAAGGGAATGTAAGTCGGTTTACCTCGGCGAACGGAAACGAAAGGCGCTAACGGCCCACAGGCCATTAACGACCGCGCTCATCAGTCTGGCAACGAGTCAGGATCTTTGCCACCGCGTGTAAGGGTACGTGGGGCACTCACCGCGAATCTCGAGCAACTCTGACGACCTTGATAGACGGACAAGTCGACTAAACGCGCTGTCAGGGAACGCAGTCAGCCGCCCGTTGAACCCGAGGTAAGAAAATTTGACTTAGCTTGTTTTTTAAGGTCGCTGACACCTCCAGGACGGCGACACCGATGTGGGCTCTATCGACGAGTCTCAGATCGATCATACGCAGCTGAAATGCAAGGACGCGGCGGTGAGTTCGGACTTACCTGCGAGTATCAAGTCGGCGCTGACTTGGCCTGGACCAGCCGGCCACGATGAAGGACCTCTTGCGCATGGAGGACGAGGTGGACCGGTACAGCCAGGTGAGCAATTTCTCCTGGATCGAGCGCATCGAGCGCGGGCGCAAGTGCGCGGGCACACGCGGCGTGCGGGCACACACGGGTGCGGGCAATCGCTTGCGCGATCTGAGCGCTGGCCAGCGCGGGAAGGGATTGTCGGCGCGATGAAGTCCGCCGACAAGAGAGCTTGCCCCTGCACGCGCATGCGCAGGGGTAGTTCTCTCGCGTCGGCGTACTGTGCCACTCGGGGCACGGCGACGAGGAGGAGGGAGGGAAGTGGAGGTCATGGCGGTGGGAGGGAAAGTGGGGCGGGGGACAACGAGGCGATAAACGCGCGCGCGTGGGCACGCGCGCGGACTTAGACGCGTTTACGCGACTCGCGCGCTTCTTCCTCCCACCACCACCACTTCCTCCGCAACGCCGACCTCCGCCACCGCCAACTCCTCGTCCTCAACCGGCTCCCCCCTGCGCTACTACCTTGCGGCTCCTGGGCATTCGCGTCCAGGAGTTTGCTGGTAGTCGGCGCAGGCCCTGGACGTGGAAGCCGTTATCCGGCGCTTCCAGCATCAACACCTGGCGATGCCATCGCCACGTCCCGCACTGCGCACTCCGCGCTGTCACCCCATACGCGTTCTATATGGAATGAGGCCACGCGTATCGCCTGCGCTCCGCTGCATGCCCGGTGCAAATATTCCGGGGCGTGGTCCCTAGTATCGTACACGATGAGTACTGATACAGGTTTTTTTTTCTATTTTCTTGTTCTAGATGTGGTTCGAACGCTACGCCTCGCTGGGCTTCGAGGAACACAAGGCGAACGGTCAACTTGTTGATGGAGCAGGCCGATATGTCTGGCAGTGCCAGGAGACCGGTTTTTTTTTCTATATTCGCGTCGTCAGCGGTCAGGCCTGGAGGTTCTCCTACTTCCCTGCCTTGGTGGATTGGCCCGAACCTGACAACACTAGGGTGCGTGTGCTAGCGCATACGACGTCTTACTGCCGCTCACACTTGCCTCAGGAGTATGACGATCCATTCGCTTCGAACGCCGAAGAAGCACCACAGGTAAGCTGTCCCCTAACGCCCTAATGCTCGTATCGGCTCTCACCATGCAATGTAGGACTCGAATCCGCGCCGTCAAGTTGAACGGGACGCTCAGCCTGCCTCCTCGGACTCGGACTCGGACTCGGACTCGGACTCGGACTCAAGCTCGGAATCGGACTCCGATACTGAGATGCAAGAGGTGCCCAAGGTGAGCGGCTCTACTCGCACGCGACTACGCCAGTACTAACCCTGACCGTGCGCTGTAGAAATCGAACGCGCCCCGCCAGGTTCAACGGGACCCTCAGCCTGGTCCCTCCACGTCGACGGTAAGTTTCCCCCGATCAATCCCATCACCGCGCTGACCCGCGTCAGAGTACGAATCGGGTACATAGCACCCGTGCCGTACCCGCATCTTCCAAAGCAAGTACCCATATCATGTACGAGAACCTATTAGCGCTCACTCGGTGAAACAGAAACGCGCTCGCAAAGACCCGGACTCGGACTCGAACACGGACGTTGAGATTCGGGCACCACCTAAGGCAGGCTACTTGATATACTACGACCAGTCTGTATGCCTAACCCCTCGCGTAGAAGAAGCCGCAGTTTCAGGCGACCATTGAGTCTACGCTCGCGGTGAGTTTCTTACGCTCGTCTGTACACTCTCATGACTACTAACGCGACTAGGCCCGCTCCGGTAAGAAGACTCGCACTCCGCAAGGGACCGGCCTCAATCCCGCTCGTCCTCGCCGCCCCCAACCCATCACCGTCGTATGTGCTCTAATAGAAACGTGCATCCTTCGCGAGTCTGACAAGGACTATGCTTCGCAGACGTCTTCCGATGATTCGGATCTGCGCGCTCTGACACCAAAGGAGGTCGCGAACGTGCGGCGCCAGGAGAAGGCCCGGACGGCTAGGAAGGCCCTCCAAGAGGCGGGACGCTCAGCCGTCGAGGAGCTGCGCGCCGCCGAAGCCGAACAGCCCCTTCAAGCCCGCATCGGATTCCAGGATAATGGGGATCTGTGCGCTCTCAAGATGCTCGACCCGGTCGTACACGAGGTCATATCTCTAGCCGCTAATCATTGCATCGCTCGGGTCGTCTACGTCGAACAGACGGCCTTCCCGACGCCGAACGGCGATGGACGCGAGCTACAAGGCGAGCAAATGGGAGAGAGGGCCCTCGAGCTTGCCGTTAAATCCTCCAAAAAGTACCGCGAGTTCGGCAGACGCGTCAAGAACAAGGACAGGGTCGTGCTCTCGACGGTGGGGAAATATGTGCGTATCGTCCGGTCTTCTCATCGCGCATTGCCTGCTCATCGGTGACCGCTTAGTGCTGGGCTCGCAAAAATATCTTCCGCCCCAAGGGCATCATGATGTCACGCGCCATCGTCAAACCCGCATACGACCTGGACAATCTTTCGAAGACGCAAACGTGCGCCGCCGTCAACGTCCTGCTAGAAAATAACAATTTCATCTATCGCGGTTCTCTCGAGGTACGTATGCGGCGGTTTATGATGTTACGGCCTGACTCACCTGCAAGCTAGTGGGTTACGAACGATCCCCAGGAGACTCGTGTGAGGTATAGGAGGGATCCTAAATTCAAGGGGGTTCCGTACTCTGCGGATGCCTTTCCCGCCGTCATCAACCTCACCTTCATGGGCGGTGCGGCTGCAAGCGACGACCCCCTCAAACAATGCTTTAACTTCACCAACAAAGTCTTCCCGAAGGCAATCCACCTACGCCCGAACCACAAGGGTAAAACTCCCCGCGAAATTCCCCTGCCGATGATCTTGTACGTCGCGATGTCGGTACGTTTGCGAGGTGATTCCGTTCTACTTCTACGCTGCTAATCCGCTCTCTAGATACAATATGCGCTCCTAGATCTCACGCTCGAGCGTCCCGACAAGTTCACAGAGCCCAAGATGCGTTCGATCTACGAGGCCCGCGAGATGGCCCACTCCACCATAGATTCGGAGAAGGGTCGCTCGTACGCTCTTCAATTCTTGTACAAGGAGGCGAGGTACGTCGTTTTCCGTCGTGTCTGATCGGCACTCAGCAGTCGGACAGGAAATGGTGTGCCGCCCCTACTGTGCCCGTGATCCCCATAGATGTCATCGAAGACGATGAAGAGATGGCAAACCTATACGACGAGTTATCCGAGATCCGCGCTCAGGATGGTGGCCGCAAGGTAGGTGCTATCGCGCTCGCTTTAAGTCTTTCTGACTGACTCGACCATAGGTTTAATCGTTTGAATGTCCGTGTTTCGCGCTGAAAAGATTCCCGTCTGGGCCATACGCTTCCGTTTTCTCGTTCTGGTTACCCCCCATCATGAGCCTCAACTGCTCGGACGCTTTCCCTAATATACCTGACACTCAACTGTTATATGCTTCTGGTTCTGGTTCCCCCTCATCATGAGCATCCACTGCTCGGACATTCTCCGCAACTGTTACTTGATCCGTTACTTGCTCCCTCGTGCTTGCTGCCCCCCCTATCCCCGCTCAGTTTATCTCCTTACTATCGTACTTAACTATATACATGTCCCATACACGTCTACGGGATGCTAATCACGATTTTGCTGGTCCCTTCGCCTAGGCCCCTGAGTGATAATATACCGGTGATTAATCAATATTTCATATGTTTCTGCAGGTTATTGAGGTGCCTACGAGCACCACTAGGGGCCGACCCATCTGGGTCGGCCCATATCAGTACACGAAGCCGACCTGGTCGGCCTTGGCCGACCAGGTCGACCTCTATCGCCGAAGTCTCAGGAACACGGTGATTAGAATACACGAAGTCGATTAGGTCAGCCACGAAGTGAATACAAAAAATAATTATATTGTTCGTACATAGCGCGCTCGGCGCGTACATCGGGAAGCTCCAACAACACATATATAGTAGTTACAATGGCACAGCAAGTAAAATACAGAACAAACGAAACCTAATTACAGGTACGATAACCGACACCAAGAACGGCGCGAAGCGCCGCCCACTGGCGGCCGCAAGGCCGCTCGCTAGCGCGAGTAGCGCAGGCGCTAGCGCGAACGGCACAGAGCGAGCGCGGGGCCGCGCCAGCGCGCGGTAGCGCATCGCAGTGGCGCTTTCGCAGGACGGCCTGAAGCGCCGTCACAGGCGGCCGGACGGCCGCTCGCCAGCGCGAGCACGACGCCGCCGCGAGGGAGCGAGATGGCATCGCGACGCGATGCGCCTGCGTGTCTCCGGACGCGAAGGACGCAATGCAAGCGCGACGACCTGAGACGGGGTCAATACGTGTTCGCGACATCAGCCGATCGTGGAACGTACCCGGTACTGCGGCGACGAGACGCAAATCCAAGCCCGTTCGTATAGGCGACGAGCGGACAGGAAACGAATGTAGGCACGGGCGCATCGTGAGCGGGGGGCGGGGGAGCGGGGCGAAACGCTAGAGACGGTTTGATGAGCCTCTATTCCTAGCGCGCACGAGTCGCAACGTACCTGACCGGCAATGCGAGGCGAGAAACACGCAATTGCTGAGGAGATACTCGTTAGCGCCGCGTCGTACGGTCACCAGGACACGACGTACCTAAGGACGACTCACGAGGCGCGGAACGCGGGATCAATGCCAGCGCATCGGCGCCAGGCAGCCGCGGACGCACAAGGGCGGCAGAGACGGCTTCATCTCGCCGTTCAAGCGTGGCGACGACGACGACGACGGCTAGACAGCCAAGACGAACGCTGGATGGGGACGCGAAGACGGGGCGGGGGGGAGAGGAGCGGGGATGGTGGAGGGAAGAAACAAGGGTCGAACGACTTCTCGCGGCTGACGCGTCGGCTCGGAGAGGCTCGGGATGAACCAGCCAATCGGCGTTTGCCGGACACTCGGAACGCGCGTCGCGCGACTTGTCGGTTTTCGTCCCACTTGCTCTTCCCCGTCATCGCCCTCGTCTCCCCCGCTGTCTTTCTCCTCGTCGTGCGCTCTTGCGCCCGACGTGGCGTCTCGCCCCGCTCGCGTACACCGCCCTACTGGTCCTTCTATGCTCGTACCTCGGGGGATGGGCGTGTTAATTTGGCTTTACGCGCGAGCGCGCCCGCGCGTGTCGCTCAACGTACGTTGCCCGCTCGTGCTGTCAGCTCCCGCGCTAATTTCTCAAGCAGGGCTGCTTGTATTCTATTGAAGGCCGGCGACTGTCGTCGAGCGCGGACCACTGAGTCCGCTCGTCCAGCCCCCATCCCCACCCCTCGCGCGCCCCTTCCTCGTGTCTTTTCTACTTGTGTAGCTCTTACCTTACTCGTATGAATTGTGTCCTTCGTATGTACTGCAAATATCATGTTTTTGGCCTACTGGCAGGCTACGTATCGTGTGGCATGCCCAGCACCCGCTCTCATGCGTCTTTTCGCCGCCTTGAAAGGCCCGCTTTTAAAATCAAGAATATAAATATTCATTTTCTCCCTTCATTTAAGTCCGACTGAACGATCGTGCGCGGAGTTTATGCCTGTGCGGTATTATTTCTCGAATAGAAATCCATTTTTTTAATCGTCGACCAGGTTCAGACCTCGGAATTTGCCGAAAACGGCCGACCAGGTCGGCTTCGTGTACCGGTATGGGCCGACCTGGTTGGCCGGCCCCTACGGCTGCTACGAGTGCTCTCTGAACTGTACGCTAGGGATCGCTTCCTCGTTAATGCCTGCTACTTGGTCACTCCTAGCCTGATAATTTAACACTCCTTTAATTGTATACTTTCTATTGACCAGATGTTGGTGAAAGATAGGTAAGTACTCCTATTGACTTACAGAGTATTTAACTAACCATAACCTAGTATGCGACGAGCTTCTCTGACCTTGCGATGACCTTCTCGTTGAGTTCTCGTTGAGTTCTCGGTGAGTGCTCGGTGAAATGCGGAAAAAGAACCAACCTCTCTTTTTCGCGCCTCAAATCGTCTCGCCGCTAAACCGTTTTTCAGTGAGTCTCGCCGAGGCTCGTTGAGAGCTTTTGAGCAGGGGGGTGGTTTTCCAGAGGTTACGGCTGAAGAATGCTTGTTTCTCGGCAGTGCATGTTGTTGTGTTGACGATAGGCTTTGTGAATTGAAGCAGACGAAGAACAGACAACTCTCGACTGGGCAGCAGGAGTGGATGAAGCTCAGTCGGTATGCAAACAGAGAGGTCTTGCTCCGAGGTCATCATGAAGACAGGTCGTCGTTGTTTCGGGTAAGCTTGACAACTCGATAGGAAACCGTCGACTACCGACGTCGCTTAGGCCAATTTCCGGTCTCTTTCAAACTTGCTTCTACGGTGCTCTACAGCTTTCCGACTGGTTGATCGGCAATCTTCCGGCATTCAAGATCTCATTTGCTTCATATCTGGGCCTATCGGGCATCAACGCCGAAAACTTCCGGCGGGTAACGGTAACGACGTGCTACTGCTGACGCCCTAGGTTCGGCAGGGCATGTAACGGTAACGGCCGGGTGCCGGACCGTTCGGAATCGTACAGTATATCCACTTTTGGAGCTTCACGGACGCCGCATTGCCTCACTCTCACTCGCTCTGGGCCAGGGCTGTGTGCCTATTGTATCCCAGTGGATCTATCATGCAACCTCCTTGACTACCCTCAATCTCATATACTCTTATACTGTGCAGAGTCACAGTAATCAGGAGGTCCATGTAGTACCACGAAGAAGTACACCGAAACACGTCGCCCTCGACGGTGTCAGGATCTCGTTCCGCGACCACGGCTTCTTCCGAAGCATCCAGACGCTGTGTCTATCCAACGTCAGCTTCAACATCGAGCGAGGCCACGAACTGTCTTCTCTATTCTCGCATTGCGTGGTGCTGGAGAAGCTCACCATCAAGAACTCGCGCGTCAACCTCGATCATCCAGACCTCGACGATGATACACTGTTCAAGTTGCCCGTCAACTTGCGCAAACTCACATACAGCGGTGCCAACGATAACGATTTTGACATTATGATAAGCTGCGATGTGTCACCCGGCGTTCATCTATCGCTGTCGTGTACGGCGTCTCCAGATGAGCCGGTCTATGCTATCATCGGCCCAATCGTACTCGATGACTGGGTGGCGCGCGACCGCGCGCCCGAAGCCGTCAGAGTCGCTATTTCGTACAATAGTGTCGCACTGGACATACACCTCGAGTGTTGGAGGCACGTCGAAGATTCGCTATGTGGTGCCGATCCGGACGTGGCGTGTCACCATTACGCGGACGAAGACGTCGAGATTGCCGACATCCTTGACGGACCGGGATACGAACGCGTTCGTCACTTCATGATCGACATCGACGCGGATGCGCTCCCCGACCTGTTCACAGTCTGGGTATGCTCGCAAATGGAGAACTACCCGATGTCGGAGCTCCAACATCTCACCCTCCGCCTATTCTCCGACGAGGCGAACGTCGAGGACCAGAAGACGCATTTGCGTTCATCGGCCCAATCGCTGTATAGATGGCTGTACTGGCGTCGCGTCGCTGGGCAAGCTATTAAGACGCTTAGCATCCCTGCGCAGATGGCGACTCTGTTGGATGGACTTGGCGATGGTGAGAGGGAGGCTTTCATCCCTGACGCGAGTGGACTTGAGGCGACGATCTCGCTCAAGACCTTGCCGGCGTGGAGGGACTTGGTTTCTTTCGTCGAGATTCTTGGTGAATCATGATCAACGGATGATGCGAGCGAGGTGTAGGGCGTCATATACATGTCGGATATAGCGGGGGTTACGCGTCACCTATCAGTACTAGTCCTTATAATCGCCTTGGATGCGTGTTCTTGTGAAGATACTTTCCGCGGAGGCGAAGTCAACGTGTGATGTCGGATGCGCCAGACTGTAGAGAGCGCATACACGTTTGAGAGGCATCGGGGAAGATGATTTGTAGGTGTATGCCCAGACTCTCGCTCAGCGCTGAGATCTGAGAGGATGATGGCGGCCAGAACGAAAGCCGCAAACAGCCTGGCCGTTGTTGCTTCTCACGAACGCTGCACCGCAACATAGAAGCAGACGCCTCGACATGCGGTGGAAGCTGAGCGCTGAGGAAGAATGGTGAGATGTAGGTACACTCTGGCCAAGTCTTTCTCATAGACTGCAAGCGGTACTGCGTAGCACGCCGTTGCGATATCGCAGCTAGACTCAAAATGGTTCTCAACTGCATGTATTCGGACTTTACAGGCTATTACGCGCGAGCCGCCCTGCCAGGTTGTAGTGTATGATATACGCCCTCAGGCGGCTCGCCTCCACACCTCCACGTCCGCGCTTTTCTTGGGCAGTACCTGTATATCCACAGAGACGTCAGTACCTCACAGCTTCATACTTACCAATCACAATCCTAGTCAGTGAAGAACAACGACACTTATCACCCCCTTTATCCGTGCGTATCTTGCGAGTCTTCACCGATCTACGCCTGTATGAGCAGAACCTCGTCAGTCCGACAGTTCGCCGTGACTCAGCGAGAGAAACACATACCGCGGCCGTAGCAGCAGCAGCCGGCCCGGTGCCGAACCGCTCAGCGCGCTTCCGTCTCCTCTCAGCCTCCTCCGCATCCACCTCCTCAACAGCCGGACTCTTCCGCTTATTATCCCTCTTGTTCTCGCCCGGCTTCAGCCCGAACCGCTCAGCGCGGCTCTTGAGCTTCTCCCCGTCCACCTCGACCTTCTCGATCCCGCCCTTGCCCTTCGCCTCCCGTCCTTTTCCGCCCTCCTTCGCAGCAGGCTTCTCAGGCTGCGACAGGATCCCTCCCCCGCGCGCCTTACGCCCGCCGCGCCCGCCGCGGTGGCGCTCGTTCTTGGCGTCGGCGAGCACTGCGGCGGGGTCTTCGACGAAGGGGATGCCGAAGCGCTCGGCGCGGGCTTTGCGCGCTGCGAGGGCTGCTTCTGCGTCTTCTTCGGGCGCTTCTGTTGTTTCGTCTGGGGCTTTTATTGCTGGCGTGGCGGCGGCGGCGGCGGGCGCGGGGTCGGTGGTGGGTGCAGAGGTGGTGGATGTGGCGGGCGTTGGTTCGGGTTCGGGTTCGGGTTCTGCTTCGGTGACTTCGGGTTCGACGTCCTAAGTAGTGATTTAAGTCTATGCGCTATCAAGTACGATGCAATGGCACATACGACAACAGCAGCGGGCTCAGGCACACTAGGACACGAGAATGCAAGTCAACATCTCGATCCTAGTATACTCACGACGGAAGACATACCTGGCAGCCGGAGCGGCCGACGCGTGGTTCGGCTCGTACTTTGTCATGTACGCGTCCTGCGCGGCTTGGCTCTCGACTATTTTGGATATGAGGTCGGCCTTTGTGGCACGGTTCGGCGTGGCGATGTTGACGCCGGCGAGGAGCTCTTTGAGCTCGGCGACTTTGAGGGATTTCCTGGGGTATATTCAGTATATGATATCGATAGAGAAAGTTGTTTTGTCTTACAGTTTGGACTCCATAGCGTTGGGCAAGACAAGGTGGATGCAGACAAGACGCGCTGGACGCGTTGATGGGATTAGCTGGAGCGTGAGTGAATAAGGTGGGGCATCACGTGTTTGATGGCTTCGAGCGCTCGGCCCTTGGGCGCGCGTTGTCATTCGCTAGGAGGACATCGTTGTCTATGATTGGCAGAGAGCACGATGAACGATTCGTCGTCTCTCGATCATTTGTTTCCCGCCAACGGCTATGACCACTACCAGAACTACCGTACGCCTCTCACGTGTCCTTTTCAAAAATGGCAAAGCGCTGACGATAAGCGGACAGAACACTATGGGTACTACCAGCAGCGACAGGACGGCAGCGGGACGGCGTCGCCCGCGCCCGGCCCCTCGTCGTCGCACTTCTTAGATCAGCAGCATCAGCAGCAGCAGGCGCAGGTGCAGCAGGCCCAGCACGAGCAGCAGCAGCACCAACACCAGCAGATGCCCCCGCCGCCGCCGTCGCAACAGGGGCCATCACAGCCCGGCCCGCCGCCGCCGCCGCTCGACGAGGAGCCGCTGTACGTGAACGCGAAGCAGTACTACCGCATCCTCAAGCGCCGCGTCGCCCGCGCGCGCCTCGAGGAAGTACACAGACTGTCGCGCTCCCGCAAGGTAAATGTTCTTCTATTACTCGCGACTGGCCGTAAAATCTCACGCGGACCGCACCAGCCGTACCTGCACGAGTCGCGCCATAAACATGCCATGCGCCGCCCGCGCGGGCCCGGCGGGCGGTTCCTCACTGCCGAGGAGATCGCCGCGCAGAAGGCCGCGCAGGATGCGCTGGGCGGGGAGGGCGAGGGCGAGGGCGCGCATGAGGACGACGAGGACTCGCCGATGAACGTCGAGTCGCCCGCGTCGTTCGAGCCCGCGCCGGAACCCGGCCCGTCGTCCTTCCCCCAGCAGCAGCAGGCTCAAGCTGGGCCGTCTGGTCAGCAGCAGCAGCAGCAGTATATGCCACCGCAGCGTCCCACGATGAGTCGCACGCCCAGTACGAGCACCCAGGGCGATTACGGCGCGACGTCTCCGCCCCCTTCGATGCAGTTCAACCCATTCGACTATGCGATGGATATGGGTTATACGCCTACGCCGCCCCCGCCATCTCAGCAGCAACAACAGGCTCAACAGCGAGCAGCAGCGCATATGCATTCGCACGCAGGACACGCCCACGCGGGACACGCCCACGCCGGCCACTCGCACGGCAGCCCCCCATCCGGAGCCGGAAGTCAAAATAACGCGCACACTGCCGCGTCGCCCGCGTTCTCCACTACCAGCTCCGGCACGAGCGCCAGCGGGGGCATGCACCATCACGCGCACCCGCGCCCGCACCACCAGGTGTTTATACCGCCCGCGTCGGCCGCGTCGAGCACGATGGGCAGCCCGAGCCCGGCGCCGGGCGTGTTGCGGAACCCGTTTAGCGCGATGCAGATGCATCATGTTCCGCACCCGCATGCGCATGCGCGGCATCATATTAGTAGGATGAATAGGGAGGAGGGGCTCTACGGGAATTAAACGTATTCATCGCCTGTTCAGCATATTTCTGGGTGTCGGGTGTATGAAGGGTTATCGGTGCTTCTTTCTGTGCGTACGAGTATGTAGGCGGCTTCTTTTCGTTCGTGTTGCTTATAGGTGTCCGATGTGGTTATGTTTGCTTCTGCTTCTGCTCGACTAGTACGATACTAATAGACTTCCTCCAAATGCTCCTCAACATGTATACTGCCAGCTATCTTTGACTCTTCCCATCATCGTCTCCGAGCCATCCTATGCGCCTGCACATGTCCATAAATATAACCTACGAACAAAAATTCCAGTCCGATTTTTGCCTCTCCAGATCCACCCCCCGATCCCGCGACGCGTAACAGGGGCTTCAGGCGTACCATTGGGCGAACGAGGGCGGCTTGGCGGGAGGGTGGTCATTGGTCGGCGAGGCATTGTGAAGCGGGCCCCGGTCCCCGAGGACGCTAGTCGGGTTTCTGTGTTCGCGGCGGCCGCGCGTACTGAGTCGATGGCATGGAAGGTCTACCAATCGGTGGACGCTGGGGTATGTGGTTCACATAGACGACTATTGGTCCGCGGTGGGTAGGCCGCCGGCTTTGTGTGCGGTGCGGTGCGGTGCTGACGGAGGTCGCGCGTTGAATAATTTCGTCAGACGTCGACTCCGAACCGGCCGTCACAATTCCATCTCTTGCACTTTTTCTCGTCCAGGAGAAGACGTAGCATTGCTCCGCAGAGAGATCCACGCACTCCTGTCGAGCAGTACAGCTGCAGGAAGGCTGCGCGTCAGGATTCGGACACGCGGCTCTGGGTGTGCTCGGGCGCCGCGCCTGCGTGCCGGCGTGCGGCGTGTGCGCCCGCGCTGTGGCGAAGGGCGTTCGAGCTGCCGGGTCTGGCGCCGAGGTGCGGGTCTTTTTGGCGGTGCAATACTATGTATGTACAACTTGGATGAGGGACTCGAGAATTATCGTTCAAGTAGAGGCCCAATACATAACAATGAGTGGGAAATACAGATTCTCATCTATACTACCGTCCCGAGCACTGCGGTCGTAGCCTAAAGTCCATCTCCAACTGCCACAGGTACATGAGCCATCATTAGTGCAATAGTGGTCTATCATCCTCCGTGATGATCACGTCTTGAACGTATGTCCTCCATGGAAGCCATGTATCCAACATCGCATCAGTCGGAACGTCAAGATCTAGAGGAAATCCGTCAAGCATGACCGCACTGTGCGCGGGGATGCTCAGCGTCTGTACCCCCCGGCGCGCCGATAATCTCTTGGCAAGCCATCCGCGAAGCTCCATCATGTTGAAGAACATCTGGGCTTCCGAATCTGAGTCAGATGCAAAGTTCACGGGAGTGTCGATACAGAGATGTCGCAGGCAGGGCATTGGGTGCCGCGAAATTGAGTGCGTTTTTAGCCAGTGCTCAACGAGATTGCTGTATGTGTCCATCTCGGCAGAGAGTGTGAGAGAGACGAGTCGTTCGTAGCTTGGCGATGGCAAGCACGGGATGATGTTATGTAGTAAAGTGTCATGCTCGTCTGCATAAAAGTGGTACTCGATGTCGGCGGCGCCGCGTGCGGTTTCGGTGTCGTCGAAGTGGCGGTGGAAGGAGAGGTGTACGTCCAGGGCGATGGTGTTATCGGACACTCGTAGCTCGGCGGCTGAGGGTGCGAGCGTTTCGTTCGTCCATCTGGTCAGGATCGTTTCGCACTTGCCGCGGGCTTCGTACGAGTATTTGGGTGGTGCGGTACACGATAGCTTGAGGCGTATGTGGGCAGATGGGGTGACGAAGGATAGGAGATCAAAGTGCTCTGCTCTAACCCCCGTGCACTCTAGTACTTGCAGAGAACTCGGGAGCGTAATCGTTTCGTCGATTACCCCCGGAACACATCTCACGTTCGTCATGGACAATTTCGATAGGCTCTTAGCGTGTTGGGACAGAATCAGTATACTGAGCATCGTGTTGCTGATGGACAGCTCGGTGACGTTGCAAAGGATCTTGTAGCCCGATACAGGGACCATGCCCACTCCGTTGAGTTTGAAGATAGATAAGTGAGGCGATAGCTTCGATGGCGCGGACAGAGGATCCTCGAGGAGGAAGAGGAAGTCTGGCGGCAGTGTTCTCCGGAATAGGTGGAGAGATCGCAGGGACGGTAGACGGGATAGCCAATCAGAGAGGACTTTGCTGCAGTCCGGGGAGCCCCTGACATGAAGCGTGTGGACTCGGTGTCCGTGACGGACAAGTAGGTCGAAGAGTCGGGTGTTCCTCGAAGGGTAATGAACCTCGAGCGTTACGGGTAAGCTCTTCGAAAGTAGGAAGCCGCGTTTGATGCTGGCGTATGAGTGCGTCAAGGTTGATAACCGTGTGTGAAGTGCGGCGGAAGATAGGACGACGCGTCTGAGGCGGCGACAGACGGTGACGGATGTGTACCACGGGGTTGGGAGGTTTTGCAAGTCGAACTCGGATTCTACAAGTGGCGCAGAGTCGCGAACGTATAGAAAGATCTCTACTAGTAGTTCGTCGGGAAGGGAGAGTAGAGGGGCCTTGGAGTTGTAGAGATCAAGCGCGAGCGCCAGAGAACCCTGTAGGCGCTCGATCTCTTGCAATAGCTTGGCGCGATAGGAATCAAGGTCATCCCCTTCACTTCGTTTTGTTGGATGTAGTCCATCCCGTGGTCTTATGGCAACATCCCTACAAAGGCGCATAGAAAGGTGGGCAAGTAAGCATCCAGGAGAAGCAATGCCACTTGCCTATGAGCACATTCCATCTTCACGGAGACGAGACAGACTGCTGAGTGCGATACGGGTGTTCTCAGCACCGTCAGACGTCGACGTCGGAGTCAACTTGCAATCTTGCAACAGAGTGGCCAATGGTCATACACGATCGGCCGATGCCGTTGATGTTTACCCACGCTTCTCTCACTAGGCACTCATAGTGAAACCGTATATCATCGAAAATGCAATAGCTACACTCTATGCTAAACGTCGAACGTGTACATCCGAAACCAAAGTACGCCAGCCCACCACCCCAACGTCAGCCGTAGAGACCATCTCGTCCAGCACAGTCGCCATGTGGGCGGGAAGTACGAGCTGCTGTACTGGATGCCCGCGGTCATTGCGCACTCTCAACCATTCTATGAAGGCACACAGACCGACTGTATGTACAGGCGTCTCCATCGGTGGTCCAGTGAGCATCAGGGTGTGAAGATAAGGTAAAGGGCCGAAGCATTCCAGCCAATCGGCCTTGCCGCGAAAGAGCGGCGAGTCCCAATCGACGTCAAGCGTGGCATGCGTGATGTTGTTGTGAGTAGAGCCAGTTATGATATCCTCTACCCAGGAGGTACCGTCGAACCGACGGTTGAATTCGAAGTCTGGCGCGAGCCCATTCGCATGGCTCCCCGTGTTTCTCCAATATGCGACGCGGACTTCCGAAGTGTGTGAATTCGACCGGGAGGTAAGACGTACGGCTGTTGCAGGAGTTTCCGATCCTAGCCATGCGTTAAAGACGTCGACGAGAATAGGGGTATCCCGGTATTTTGAGGCGGTGATCGGTGGTCCAGTGCGGATTAGCTTGACACGAACAGACGCCGATGGCTTCAATCGCGATAGAGCATCGAGTGAGCCGCCCGAGTATTCGAGATGGTGCAAGGACGGAGGGAGGCCTATATCGTTATCGGGGAAGGACCCGAAGCGCACGTCGACCAAAGCGAGCTTGCGCAACTTCTGCATACGTTGGAATACAGCCCTGAGGTTGGCAGGATTGCCGCGGCGCGGTGTATCGTGGAATGTCGTGCGGGTAAAGGAAAGCTCGACTAGGTTGAGGAAGATGTCGGATGTGAGCTCGAGGTCGAGCCCGTCGACGTGCAAAGCGGTGAGCTCGGGTATAAGGGCCACAGCGGCGGGCGCTATGAAAAGGGACGCTTCTATGTGTTCCACTGTAGATGCATCTCCGCGCCGAGTTTCTCTTGTTTGAGTAAGACTCAAATGCTTCAAGCGAGGTACGGCTTGCAACCAGGCTCCGATAACTCGCATGAAGTAGCTGGGATAGTTCACTTCTTGAAGCCGTAGAGTGCGGATGCGGCGACTATATTTGGAAAGCAGTGCAGGGATGTTGTTATGATAATGGTCGCTATATGACATACGTGTCTCGATATCCAGATCAAGGGGGCGAGAGAGCGTCAACTCCTGCTTGGTCAGCTTCCGAGGAAGCGCGCGCATGGGTATACACGTGTGCAATCCGGGCGATCCAAGAGCGACCCGCCGGAAACGGGCACAAACGCAAGAGACCGCGACCCACGAAGGAAGCTGATGCAGAGCTGGATATGGATGAAGCGAGGGATACATCGCGTCGCGTAGTAGCAAGAAGACCTCTAAGAGGAGTTCGTCGGGAAGCTTGAAGATGACAGCTTCGTAGTCGAGGGACTGGCTCGCGGGGGACAGCTCGCTGTGAGCTTTCGACATAGCCTCCAGTTCGTTGGTGTTCATTGTGGAGTTGCTCTAGTCAGATAGGCGCGATTGCGGTCCGTGGATATGTCTGAACAGCGACTCGGAGTGAGATTCGATGTCAACTGCTACAGATCACCACCTCGAGAGACTGACTCACACGTCGATGGTATTCATAAGGACCATTTAAGAACATACATCTGGCGCCGTTATAAATCGGAGGCGGCAGTCCTAATTCAGATTTCTAATCCGTCGTGGCTGTCGCGGTCAAGTGACAATCGCGAGCTTGATCCGAGGTTCGAACACCGGTGACCGAAGTGATCAGGGTCGGGCATCGCCGGCTCGGAAGCAATATAATAAATATCTTGCATGACTGCATTCATACATCATATCGTACAAAAACTGTAGGGGTATGTCACAATCTCTAAACCGGAAGCGCCATTCGACGAGGAGGGTGCTCGAAGTCTCCGCGTAAATCCGTGTTCCTGAGGCATTCAAAGCGATCCTAGTCCTCGTTGCTCTCTCTGCATCATGATCGCCTCGACCCGCGGCCACTACGTCCTTGCCCTGTGCTCGACACGCACGTTGCCGACTAAAGCCCGCCAGTCCGCTACCCCAACATCCGCCGCTGCGGTTGCCTCATCTAGCGCGGCCGCGATGTGTGCTGGTAGCACGAGCTCTTGCAGGGGATGCCCCCGAGTGCTGCGCGTTGTCATCCAGTCTTTGAGAATGCGCACGTCTATACCGAGCGCGTGGCCCTCTTCTAGAAGTGGCACCTCGGGAGGTCCGGTGAGGAGTAAGGTGTGCAGGTGTGGTAGAGCACCAAGACAATCCAACCAGCCGCCGCCCCTGATGAAGAGCGGAAAATCCCATTCGAGATCGAGCACGAGGCACGTAATGTTATCATAGATACGCCCAAGTAGAAGGTCTCCGATTTCTAACTTCTCGTCCACGTAACGCACGATCTGGAAGGCAGGTGCACGACCATTCTCTAGAGTCGGATCTTGCGAAGCTCTCCAATACGCAACGCGTGCCTCGGCGGCAATCGACTTGTAACGGATGGTCAGGCTCGCACTGACTGGGATTGCGTGGCCAGCCCAATTAGTGAGGATAGTGGCTATGGCGATGGTTTCATCCTGCTCTGCATATGCCGGAGGTCCGGTGTATACGAGTTTGACGTCCACAGAGGGCGACGGCGTCAGCGACGATAGGATGTCAAGCGAACAAGCGGTTTTATATTCCAGATGGCCAGAAATCCCGCAAATCCGGATTTCCCAGGTCTCACGTGGTCCCACGTTCCATCCCGCGTCCCAAGTCCCACATCAATCCCGCCACGTCTCACGTCCACATCCCCCACACTCACCTTCATGGACCTCTAAGTCTCGGTTACTCTGAGTCTCCATTGCCGTTCTCTTGCTTGTCATCTCTCGGCCCTTACCATTGACCGAACTTGACGTGCTTGTCCTTTCGTGTCCCGTAGATTCAACTACGTAGACCTGGTGACCATTGTAGGCAAACCCCAAATACATACACCTGCAATCTAGGCGCTTCTAGTGCTTTCGGACCGAACGTCTCACAACCAAACACCTTTATCGGGGTCTTCTTCGTGCGTATCCTGACTGGCACTTGACGGCCTTCAACGCCAATCCATGACAAGCCGGTGTGTTGGCTTTCAACCACCTGTCCTGTTCAAACAGGGTACATCTATGTAACAGTCTACGCTTCGTACTTAACTCTCTTGAGGGAATGCGCTGCTAGCCT